TGCTTGTTGGTTTTTTGTCGTTGTTTTTTTGTTGTTGAATTCCTTTGCTTTGTTTTGTGTTAAAAAGATCGTGGAACGGAAGTGCAAAATGTAGCATCAGGGCATTGGTGTTACATAGTTGTTTTCATGCTCATTTAGCTGCTATGAAATGGATGTCCTTTTATGTATTCTGTTTCAATGAATTGGCCGAACTTGTTTAAAATACATGTGTTTCATGCTTCTGATGCTGCATCCATACCAACTTGAAATAGATGTCTCTGTTTGCTAGAGTATCTCTTACTGGCTCATGAGTTTGAACTTTTGTAAATTTAATTTTTCACTCCTGTACGGTCTCTTTGCGACGAATTTTTTTTCGCTCCCGCCCCAGTTCAAAAGCGGGTCTAGTTCACTGGGAGGATGTCTGTCTGCTTTTCACCTGGTAGATTTTATGTTCCCCGGTCACCAAGCAGCACGCCATCCTGTCCGCTATAACTGCCAGAGGAACCAACGTGCCGTGCCCCGACTCGCAGCGCTACATCGTCTGAGGCACTCCCCCTTCCATGCACGACAGGGCCGGATCAAAGGGTCAAATGGGCCTTTAACTACCACGAAGCGGTGTATAACCTAAACGTGCACTACTTTTGTTTAGTGCTGGTGCAACTGGGTGCTAAGCTGGATCTTAGCACTCCAAACGGACTTCGGCCATTTCCAATTTCCACTGCTGAATCCATCTGCCACTGCTATAGGTGGGGACTCGTGAGCGTGACCCGGCTGCTGTCGGTGGGGACTCGTCAGGGTGACCCGGTATTGGTGGGGACTCGTGAGGGTGACCCGGCTGCTGTCGGTGGGGACTCGTCAGGGTGACCCGGTATCGGTGGGGACTTGTGAGGGTGACCCGGTATCGGTGGGGACTCGTGAGGGTGATCCGGTATCGGTGGGGACTCGTGAGGGTGACCCGGTGTCGGTGGGGACTCGTGAGGGTGACCCGGTATCGGTGGGGACTCGTCAGGGTGGCCCGGTATCGGTCCAGCTTACACGACCGAAGGTTTGCTGCCTGACCAACACGTCCGTCCCCGACTTAAACACCCCTGCCAGGTGCCATAATCCTTGTAGGATCCTGTAGAACAGTCCTATTTTACAACACATATGTACTCGTTGCTGTCAGTAGCATTTCGCACGCTCATTAACAGGGAACCGTGAAACACAGTTAGCAATAAGCTTTCTACACATGACCGCGGGGTCATGGGTTAAAGGGGTTAAAAAATGTTTTCACATTTGTAATCGGGATTTTAACTGAAATAACCGCCTTGAAGAGCACTCGGTGCAGGTCAAAGCCCTGACCTTCTTAAGACCTAAACCCCTCTAGTTTCTGAGCTACACGCCCGCGACGATGTGCAGACTATTCTGCGCAGAATATTTCAAGGTTACCCAGGCATTCATGCTGCCATAATAACGTAAATCAAAGTCTATCATTCCACTGGCTACGCGGCGCTCAAGGCAAGAATAATCTTATGTTCGAGTGGTCCATATCTGGTGGTCGTGAGCACAATTGTCGCATATAAAGACCGTCAATTGGCTTTCAACCACTGTCGTCCAAACTCAAGTAAAAATACGTTTTGTGCTACCTAGCACAAGAAGTCAAACATTCTTTCTAGATATCACGGAAATAAGACTTGCAATCGTGTGACTTAAGAATAACGCTATCACCGAGCACATGAATATAAGTTAGAACTTTAAACACCCGGATAAATATGCAATAACAGCACGCTGAAAGCGCCGAAACACGAGTACCAAACGACGTTTGGTGCAGGACACATCTAGCACCACCGCGGGCCACCTCTCAGGAGACTGAAAAACTGAAGAAAAATGAGTGCTGTCATAGAAACGGTCTATGACGCGGTACAAAATGACGTACAATCTAACATACTAAATGTATAATTGACATCATGCTTTCTAGACCAGTTTTTTACTTATAAGTAACGCCTTCAAATATGGAGCGTTCCCTTTAAGCATGCTACTCCCGAAGTTACGGCGTCTCCAAGGGCTGAAAAGACGGCGCGATCCGCTCCTTTCTCTCCTCCCCTCCCCAACCAACCCCCACACAGTGTGATGCCGCTCACCGGATTATCAATCACGGATTGCCTGATATTGGAGAAGTTATCGAATCCTGCGGCCGCCCCCGGCGAAGTCGTCGACGAGCGCTGTTCGCCAGATGACTGGTAAGTCGCCGTTTCCGGGGACTGGTGACAAAACGGGGCTCTTCTAGCGGAATTCCGGACGACCATATGTCCGCGGGACTCGGCCCCGCCCAATTCCAAGTGGGCTTCGGAGCCTGTTGAGATAAACGTAAGTGATTTTTGTGCAGCGTGAGCCCAGCTGTGTTGCGCTATTTTGCTTAGCGCATCCGTTGTATTGTCCGAGGTCCGGATTGTCTTCACTTTGGAATCGCTTAACTTAACCCCGCACCCGCGCGAGCACGGCGCGGGCTGGAATCGGCTGGCCCCCGCCCCCAACCTGCTGCCATTTCAGAATCACAGTCCAGCGACCAACGCTCTTCTCTGACCTCCTACCACCAATTTTGAGCGGTTCCAGCTGCCCAACAATGGGCTCGCCCAAGTGAAAATGCTGCCACAGGATTTGCAGTGATATTGATACAGGTGAAATGAACATCCCCACCATAGCCCGAGCGAAGTTGTCTATCGTTGTTACCAAAACCAAAAACGCGCATGTTTGATCAGAGGAATCCACCTCAAAGGTATCCATCACTCCGACAATCATAAATCGATGGCATGTTATGCGCATCTGAGGTAAAAAATCATAAATTGGACGCCTCGACACCACGTGATATACTATGTAAATGCTAGGAATAATCTGGTGGCTCCAATGACGCCTAAACAGGAATGGATCTTCATGCAAAATTTTAGAAAGGACAGACCAGGTTTCTTCATAGATAAGCGGACAAATGATACGTATCAGTGCGCTGTCTTTGTGGCCACTTTCTGAGACGAAGATCAAGAGCTAATGAGGAAGCATCCAATCCAGAGGCGTCGAAGGCTTTTGTAATGTTCCATCCGCTTACACAGGTTTATTTCTTCATACTTAAATCAAACAACTGTCTGCCATAATGTCAACCCAAGAAGCCCGGAACACAGCCCACAACAGCCACACGGCCAGCCGCGCTGAACCACACAGACAACAACCCGCACAAATGGCTGTCGCCTCACACGCAGACTCCGCGGCGGTGACATGACCAAACACAGGTTCATGTAATTTCCACTAGGCGGCCGAACAACCAAGGTTTAACGCCAACTGCGGAAATAAGCTATCAAAACACCTGAACACTACAGATATCAAGAGCTATCAAAGACCATCAAGAGCTTTCGAATTAGGAAAAGCTATCGAAACAACACCAGCTATTTTCCATCACATGAAATGACGCGCGCTGAGAACTTCGACGAAACGCTGCGCGAACCTATAACGCACCCCAATCAGTGTCGTGCCGAGAGCATGTTTTAACAATATTTAATATTTTAGGGTGTGATGCATCTGTGTATGTCGCGTCTTCTACACGCTATTCGAGTGGAATACTGAAAAAAACATGCCAGAGAAGCTTCCAAAATGTGCGACTGATTGATTTTCAAATGTCTGCCTGGAACTGCCTTGCCCATAAAGTTCTCTTCCAGTTGTTTCTGCTTCTTTGTTTGAAAGAGGTCTTGAATCGGATTGGCCCTCGGATTAGAACTCCCTTGGATCTCCCTTTGGATCACCTCCTTGGATTCCCTTAGATCCCCTGCGCTGTTGCTTCCGCCTCACCAGACCGCGAGCCAAATGGAGAAGTGATGGGTGTCGGCTGACGGGTTAGCATGTATTTTGGGAGCGAGAGACGAAAATCAGGTCGCATTGTGCATCTATCCGTTCGCAGCCAAACACTTGGCCGCCTCAATAGCTTACAATCATGTTGGAACAACTGTGTAACGTTTTTGCTAGATGATAGTTATGGGCTGCTGAGCGTTGTGCATCGACTGACTGCCGACATTGATGTTGATTTCGTTACCTTTCGCCACATGTTTAACAACAGTTTGTTTCTGTTCGATCACCTGATATGTTTTCCGATTCTGAGAAGATTTCGAGTTCAACAGCATGCTGCACAAAAATGGAGCTTCTTTTTACGATAGACAGTCTGCGGATTTGTCATAATTTTAGTCTCGAGTATTTGTTAATTCCTAAGGCAATGCTATTCCGCCATTGAGGCCGGCACAGCCGGGCCGTACGGGCTGCATGCATCGAACACGGCCCCTACTGAAGCTCGACCGGCTGCATGACCTACAGCAGTCGATGCGCCTCCTCCCCCCCCCCCCCCCACGAAGCTCGACCGAGCGAAGTTCACTCTGACCAGCGTCGTCACTGCTTATAGTGGCTTTCAGAAACGGGTGTCCAAAAAAGGAGCTCTGAGGTCATGGCATGTACATATCTCCCTTAGGGCCCACTTGGGACCCTGTGAGTTAAGAAACTTACGCACCCTGCACAGTCGTTTTATAGTTCGAAAACAGATTGGATCCAAAAGAGGTTCAACGTTTCCCACGCGCATGAAAATGATCAAAACAAACTTATTTGCTTCCAGGCTGTTTCTTGTTCTGACAAAAATGGTCAAAAAAAAATTTGGTCAGTCGCTTCATTGGGAGCTGTGGGATCCATCCCATTGCCCCAACTTGCCCACACCTTAGCGAAATGCATGATCCTGGTTTATTGGCTGTTAAGGTGATTCTGCTTTAACTTTGGGGTAGCACTGGATCAAATATTGAGGTTGTAGGATGTATCCACGAAAAAATATAAAGCTACCACTCACATATCTGGATCATATTCTAAATGTGATGCGTTATGTGAGCTTCTTGAAACTACGATTCGATGCTTTTCTGCCCCATGTAAACCTAACTTGGTATTTTTGGCTATAGTAGCATATCAACAACATTCTACGGTTACTGGACTTCCCTCACATACACGTCACACAGTTTGGTGCTTACCAAACAGGCCCAATCTGTAGTTGATGGCGACGACGACCACTTCTCCGTAGCTGGCGAGCACTCCGCCGTCATACAGGTTCCCCGACGACCAAAGGTAGGAGTCTCCGTGGATGTACACCATCACCGGGTACAGGTCAGCCCCTCCTGTCAACAAAGCATCACACCTGAGTCAGGCACGCTCTTCGTGGATATGCACCATCACCTGGTCGGGGCTGCCGTTCCTGTCCTTACTACGTCACATCTCACGTGGGACACGGATTTGTGTGAACTTGCGTCGCCCATGTGATGCTACGCATGCGACCTTATCCACCACACAGGGAGAATATGGATTCAGCATTTGCGATATAGCCGTTGATCGTGCTACATCGCATCTCACGGCATGATCAGCGAGATCGTAGGCCCGGGAACCCGGTAATATGGCAACCCGTGAATCCGGTAACCCGGTAACCCGGTAAGCCGTGGACCCGGTAATCAATATAGCCGGGCCCATGCCATCGGGCCGAATCCGTCCTCCAATCCGCGTGGATCGCCGCCTGACCTTCCCTTCCTGCGACCTTTGTTGCATGGACAAGGATCTTCACTGGAGCAATTCGAACCACACTTACGAGAAATTCGTGGACGGCAGTCCAATGCACGGTCTCCTGGCTTTCGCGAATGTGGGCAACGTATTTCGTTTCACCCGCCCGCCTGCTATATATTGTTTCGAGCCAACGATTTTTCGGTTTCGCACAATCCGGGTATCTTTGGGGCATATTATTTTGTTCTGGGTGAGGTCTCACTCGTTATCACTTTCTTGCACCGCACCTGACGGTATGCTAAGTTTCCTTCGACTTAGCATGATGCTTATCTTAGCTAACTCTTTCTCATTCCATGTCTGACCAAGAAAATGGCATTGCATCTTGTCAACAACTGACTCGATTTACGTGTTTATCCCTAAAGCCATGTCGGGTATAGCAGCGACTTCAACGTCTGCCGGGACAGTGGGTTGGCGCAGACCTCTGCGGTTTTCCGAGCATAGCTCCTAGCTGTTCAGCACATCGTGATAGCTTTCAGTAGCAAGTCTTAGGAGCCTTTAACACGTGACCTACATATTTTCCAAGTTCCAACCTTTGTCGAACGACTGACCTAAGATCAAGTATTTAAAACTCTGCGTGACGAAAATCAGGAAAGCCAGCGTTCTGCGATGATTCCTGAAGCTTCGTATCTAAATCTTTTGTTTAGCTGCTCTGAAGGCTTAAATAGCTATACATCGGAAATCGCTAATGTGGCTGGCCTTTGCAAAGGGCATTATGGTCTGAGGTCGCAGGCAGTCATGACATTAACGTCAAATGTACTTTGAGCTGACATATCATGAGCCAAAATGGCCGACACCTGCCTATGGTAACCTAAAAGCTCATTCAAGATCGTACCATTCATATAAAGATTTCAGAGCCGTCGCTCACAGTGCGAGTAGGTTTTCTTAGTGTATGTACCAATAGCAACGTTGTGCATGACGATTTGTGTGTACATTTGTCCGCAGTCGAGATCCAGAAAGACATTGGCTCGTCTCTACATGACCATACTTGACCCCATGGAAGTGAACAGTGTTGCGATTTGACTCAAACCAGCTTTATTTCACAGACATATGAAAATCCAAGAGACGGCAAACGTGCTATCTGACGGCGCCTAACCGGAACTGGAAAACCAATAGTAAGACATGGTTTGGAAAGGCAGGCGAATCTCTATCCATCGCGTCGCTATCCATCTGAAACCTCCCTTCGCGTTTTTTAATGCTGCTCCTACATATCAGGCGTAGATTCGGCACAGAGCCGTAACAACTACCTTGTGCTGCAGAGGTGCGACAAACCAGCCACGTTGGGGAGGGTTAGGTGATGTCTAGGACAAACTTTATTCTAAGGTTTGAGTTCTCCACGTCTCGCAGGGTCGGTGGTACTGGGTCAGTTCGAAGATGCAAAATACGTAAAAGATGGCAGCCTGGCTCTAGCCCAAAATGCTTTTCGTGCCAGTTACATGTCATCACTCCTGTGAGTTCAGGGCATTTCTCACATGACCTCAGACTGACATCGAAATTGGCACGTGCAGCATTACAAACAATTTTACAAAAATTTGGTGGCATGCGGACGACATTGCTTTAGCACTGTTTCTTCTGGAGGCCATGATAGCTGGCTGGTTGATGTATTTGTAAGCGTTTGATGTCTTAGAAATGACTGCATAATCTTAAATACGGCATGCGGAAAGAGCACCGCGCTGTACGCTACCATTACTAATTTCAACATGTATGACAAGGAGGCTGATTTAACAACTGAGGTATTGAAATGTTGCCAGATGCGCACTCGTCAGAACAATGGCAGCTGATAGCTCTAATTTCAACGTCACGCGTTCAAAGGTCTGTCAACTGAACTGCCGGCACTTTCGACCGAACATCCAGTATTTATCCAAACAAGCGCGGTGGTGGCAGCAACCAGTTGCACCCACGCTCTCTCTAACGGCGATTGGATAGCACATGTCACCACCAAATGAATTGGCCGGGCATATGGATTATTCAGCCTGAAAATGCTGTTCATCAGGCCCCCGGGAAAACCAGCCAATCGCAGCCACGCTCTTTCCGACAATGATTCGACGGTGCACGTCAAAACCAAATTTATTGGAACGGGCGTATGGTTCCCCAGTCTTAACATAATGTTTATCAGGCCCGCAGGAAAGCTATACGAGGCGGCGATTCGATGGTATGCAACGCACTAAGCCGTTTCGGTGCCGGGGCCATAAATTATTCATGAGGCCCGTGTGTAGGCCGCCCGCCGTTAGAGCTGAAATATTCCTCCTCGAAGCGCCTCGGCGGATGATACTGCGGCGCAAACGCTTGTTTAACGAAGGGTTTTGTGAAGGCAAGTATTGCTGGAGCATGAGAGGCGGGTAGCACTCGCGCTCCGAGCGAGGCGGACATGTAGCTGGAAGTGCCGAGTCTGGTTGGGCTGTTAGGAATTCACCAAACGGGGCATCAGGGGAATTTCCCTGAAGCCGCTGGCGCAATGTCCCCGCCGTGTAACACGAGTCGACGGTGACGGAAGCTGACCAGGGCCTTCCCTACATATATAACTCACCATATAGGTGCTGACAGTTTGGTAAACGTGGTGGTATATGTTTTAGTGCGGTGTATGGCTTGGCTCCAATGTTTAAGCCTGAACGGGGCTATCGCTTGTAAACATGCAATATTTGAGCCGACGCGAGAAGCTTCAAGGATGGAAGCTTCAGCTAATGTTAACAAAACATTCGACGAGTGTTTCCATAGGTCTAGAAGATTTGCCACCTCAGTCGCCTTTGGGAACGGTTGGAGCATACGCTTTCTTCACGCATTACTATGCATTCTAGGCAAGTATCCGACGCCTGCAGATAATTTATATAATTCACCAAAACCAAGCAAAACAATCAAAGGCGAACTGCGCCGAAATGATCGACGGAGGGAGCATGTGCTCATAACCCTACCGACACGTCTATACTGGGCGCGGTCATGGGCCAAGTGTAGGCGCCCACTGCATTAGAGGCCTGCGTCCGGGTGATTCAGGTGATTGACACCAGTTAAATTGGGGTGGCCCGTGCCGAAGCTTCCAGTGATTGCCTTATGCCCCGGCTTTTTTGTCGCGTTCCGAAGTACCGCGCGCGCCGCAATGGCTCGCAAATATAAGAAAAAATCGCTCGTGTATATGCATATGCGGATAGCAGACGGTAGACAGTACAGGAAGGCGGGTGGTGTTGGCGGATGTGGAGAACTCCTCTGGGGGATGCCACTCCACCTGGGGAGATGCCACCCCATCGGTAGGCGACATTTCATGGCAATGTCCCGGACATGATCGGCCATCGACGTACCGGTTTGGGCGCGCGAAGACATTAGTAGACACTGGCGGATACAAACGGGACGCCGATGGTGTCGGACACGGTCACACGTTGGAAGGCATCGTAGTTGTCGGACAGGTCGGACATTGAGAGATTATGATGGATGATGGATAGCACTGGACACCAAAAAGCGGCATTAGTCACAGCTGGACATCGAGATTCGGCAGTGGTCGATGTCGACCGCTAACGACCAACGGAGCAAACGCCGTTGGACAACACAAGGCTATGAAAGGCAAGGTAAACATTAGTTGAACAATTACGCATCATCATTGGAGCCGAAAAGTGGGCTTAGGCTGGGCGGATGGATGTATTCGAAGGCTCGCAGCGTTAACATAGGTCGTTGACCTCCCATTCACGCGCACTGGGTTGCGGACTGCATTACAGGGATCTGTGTTGGTCATATATGCAAATATTTACACGCATGTGCACAGTGCGTTGGATTGGGAGCATGCCGTGTCAAAGAAAAGATCACTGTTGAAGATCAGCACAGAAAATCCAACATGGTTGCTCCACATGGCTAATTAGACAGCTGGAATAGATCGGGTTACGAGGAGTTACGCCCCTCTAACATGTTGCGAGTTGTGCCATTCCTTCTCGACTATCGTGGATTCCTGCGTAATGTCTCAAAGGCTCATAAGAGATAAGTGTAAAGAAACACGGCATTTTAAGCGACATTGACATTTGGTACCACTAGAGAACAGAGGGTATTCCCTACTTGTGTGAATTTTAGAGGCAATACAAAACATAACCAATAATTAGATGAGCGCGCCATGTAAAAGATAGAACCCATCATAGGCCCACTGAAATATCAATTTTCTCCAGCTTTCGGAGCTGATCCCACGCGGGGCATTCGACTTCTTGTGAGAAGGTCAGAAAATCAATGTAAAGGTAACGATAACAAATAATAGATAAGCTATCTTCATTTCAGCTCACATCTAAATCATTCGCTGTATCGTAATTTTTCGTACCCGTGCAGTCTTTGAGCTACAATATTTCGGCACCGTTTTCTTTCGCTATCGACTCTGTATGGGGTGTGGTTGGGCCGGGCCCGAAATCGTCGGCGGGGGGCGACGCAGCAATCGCGCGGCGGCGTAGAGCCGCAGTTCGCTCTTCCGACATTTGGAAGCCAGGATCGATTACACCAATATCTGAATTTTATGTCCTTGCCCTGAGAAACGCTTCTCGGGAAAGCGTGAACCAGAACGAAGTATTAATTTTTGGCATGACGTACGTGACCGTTAATCATCTACGCA